GGGAGTTCGGTGTCGATCTTCACCTTTGTGAGGGTCTTCAACAAGGGGGGCGAGCTCAAAGTCTTCATCCGGGATTGGTCGGAGGAGTCCCTGCTCGCCTTTGGGTGCTTCATCCTGGTCAAAGCGGGTGTCTAGCGAAATGGAGTCGACCTTTGGAGGAGATCTTTGTTCCTCCGTCTTGATGGGCTTTGGCTCTGGTCGTGCAGTAGCATCTCTCTTGGTGGGTCGTGCTCCAGTATCGTCCATACTTTGTCCCTTTGACGGTGCGTTGAAGCATATTTGGGCAGCTGCGAGGTCGCTTTAGATGGTGGCGACGCGTCCTCTCTTTGTGTAGAATTTCATCTTTAGGTGGACGGTGGAGGGAACAACGGTCAATTCCGCTAATGTTAGTCTCCCTAGGATATAATTATAGAGAGACGGGCAGTCGATGACCAGAAACCGCACCTTGACTTTCTTGGTGGCGGTGTCTTCGCTGAAGGTGACTAAGAGCTCCACGTACCCCCACGGTTTGGAGGTCGAGTCGTTGAAGCCCTGCAGGTCGGACTTCACGTATGATGAAAGGTGGGTGTCGTCGAGCTGTAGCGTTCGGAAGAGTTGGCTATACATTACATTGACGGGACTCCCTTCGTCGACCAAGACGCGATAAACATCCAAATTAGCCATCCTTTCCATAACCAGAAGAGGGATACTTGAGTTAGGGGCCCCTTTGGGAAATTCTTCGATGTCTTCGGGGATGTAGAAGTCCTCCAGTCTTGTAACGGAGAATGCTGTTTGGATGGGGACCGTCTCGTCTAATGGTCGGACATCCTCCTCAGCCTCCTTTGTGACGCGGGAATCTCGCCGAGGGGCATCGCTGCACCGATATTTTCCTAGTCTTCCCCCTTTAATGAGGGTTTCAATAGCATCTTTATGATAGACACAGTCTTCAGTCAGGTGTCCATGGCTTCAGTGATACTGGCAGTATTTGCTCCAGTCAGCCTCGGGCTTAGCAGGAGCAGGACGAGGGCGCCTGACGATGCCACTGTCCTTGAAATCAGTACTAGCACACTCCGCCAAGATGCACTCGCGGGAAGCTGTCAGCGGAGTGTACTCAGTAAATCGCCCCGCGGGCCCTCTTTGCTCGCGAGGATCCCGTGGTTTGTCATCCCTCCTCTTCTCGCCAGTTTGTCGAGGAGGTCCAGAATCTTGTTGTCACGGATTGCTGATTGATCAACGATTCCTTGGGTCCCTGGCTCTATTGGCCATTTCCCTCTCCTCATAGTCCATATAAGCCCTCGCCTTCTCGAGGAGAGCATCGAATGTCCACGGTGGTTCGATGCCAACGACTTTTCTTAACTTCGTGTCCGGGAGGAGTCCCCTCTCAAGCAGGTATATCTTCATATGATCGGTGCAGGGGACCTGAATGGCCTCGCGGTTGAACCGATCAATAAACTCCATGAGGGTCTCGTCGTTTCTTTGGACGATGGCCTCGAGGGTTGTCTCAGTCTTCGGATGTCGATGTGAGGCAGTGAATGAACTGATGAACTGGTTTTTTAAATTTCTCCAGGAGGTAATTGACACCGGGGCGAGGCTCTTATACCAGTCCATCGCAGTCTTTCTCAAAGTCGTGGGGAACAACCGGCATTTGATCAGTCCCCCGATGTTATAATAATGCAGCATTGCCTCGAACCCGTTGATATGGTCGACTGGATCGGCAATGCCTTCGTACTCCTTCAGGTTGGGAGGTTTCTCCATACTCAGAGGAATGGGTGCCTCCATAATAGCCTGAGATAGGGGACCGAGGGGGTCGTCTTCGTCGCTTCTGTCTGGAGATCGAGAGGGAGGACTGTTGTAATGGCGATAGTGATGGCGGCACTGGTCGCGCGGAGGATCCTTCGGGAGGTGTGGTCGTTTGTCATTTCCCTTGTTCTTGTTTCCAGGGGGTCTTTGCTCTTGACGCGGGGGAATGTGATCACGTCTCCCTGTATCTACGGGTTGATCCCTCTCCAATGCGGGGCGTCGCCCGATTCGTTGAGGAGAGGGGCTTCGAGAGACATCCCATCTGCGTCTCCGCGGGGTAGATTGGGGACGGTCCTCTATCTGACGGGGACGAGGAGAATCAGGTCTCCTATGTCTTCTAGGGGCTCTCCGAGAATCTTCGAGCACCCTTAATCTCTCCCCTTGTGAAAAGATCAAGTAGTTCGTTTGATTTATAGTCGTGAACAGTGCCCTGGTCGTGACATCAACACCTGCAGGAACGGGGACCTCCTGGAACGCAGGCGGATGATAGTTCTGGAGAGGATGACGATCGTCTTCGAGTCATCGGAACAGTGACGGCGATGAGGCAGTCAACCTGTCTCTATATTCTGAGGGATCGGGTATGTCCACGGCGTAACCGATGTTGTTGTTGTCGGTGTTGTTATTGTTACCAGTGTTGAGGCCAACGGGACCAGTGTTGTTGATGCCGGTTAGATGGACATTCATGTTGTTTTTTACCGTGAGATCAGCCATGACGGTCAAAAAGGAGTTGGATTAGCTTTTGTCTTGGATGAATGAAATACGAGGAGTTGTGATTTCCCACAGACGGTGCCATTGATCGCATCCGACTAGAATGGACCGTCACAGCTTACTTCGAGCAAAACTTGAGAGTGAGGTGGGAGATACCTGCAAGACACTTCGATGTCAAAATGAGATGCGAAATGAGCTAGCAAGCAAGAGTAAGAGATGTTCAATACCTGACCCTCTCAAAAAAGAGGGTATTTATAGCCCCCAACACTGGACCAACGTCTCCTCATTGGGCTGGTCAAGTAGGCCCAAAGTGTAGATTGTCAAGTCCTACGTGAGTAGTGGGGACCCGCACGTGGTCCTCCACCTGGATGACTTCCTTCGCAAGATCAGAAGGATATGGATGCAGTTTTTTCGGGACCACGAAGACTCCGTGATATTCTGAGACATTGATAGTCATCCCTACGAGAAGGATGCTCGTGAGGTGCTTCTGCTCGTCGTGGATGCTCCCCGTCAAACGCGAGGTCGTGCAAGGGGATCAATATTGGTCGGGAAGAGGGTCGGAGGGGGACCTCGAGGTCCTCCTGACCGGCGATGGTCTTTCTAAGATTAAATGGGTTCATCCCCGCGCGATGAGGTTGCTTCCTTGCGGGGAGTGGAAGTTGTTTCCCGACGCAGTCGAGGACAGAACTGGTCAGTATGTCTTGACCGACATAATTGGATTGGACCTCACATGGAGTTGAACCAAGGACAGATCCAATATATATATAAAATAGGCGTTTTTGTAATAGAATTTTGAGGTCAGTGACCAATGCCAACAAGAAATGAATATATAGAGATTTGGACTGGAAAAAATATACGAGGACTAAAATCAAAAACTCGCTAATTTATAATAAATAAAAAATTAAATCATTGTAAATTAATTTACACTGTCAACCAATCATAACTTTGTATCCGAATAAATCACATTTTAATTTTAAAATTTATTTAATGATAAAACACATTTTTGACTTTCTATTGGATGACAATGTAAAATAAATTAAACCCATATAAAAATATATTTATTGCTTAATAATATTTATATTAGAATTTCAATTTTATATTTTAAGTAATATTTCATAAATAAAAAAATTAGTAGTTTATCATCTCATCATTGATTTATAACAAAATTCATACAAGAATAAAAAAATTTACTAGACAAACGTGAATTTATCTTATTCCATTATTTTATCAAACACTTAAATACAAATTAGATCTTGTTTCTTATTTGACCACTAAACAGGAATACAGGATCTTCGCAAAGTTATAATATTTCAATTTCACCATCTTGTATATAAAACATGAACGGGTTAATTATGATTTCATAGCGATATCAACTGGTCGATTACCATTTCATCGCTATATCAACGGATTTGATTATGATTTTATCGCTATATCAACTGGTCGATTATGATTTCACCGCTATATCAACTTGTAGATTATGATTTCAACGCCATATCAACTTGTAGATTAATGATTTGAAGCAGGTACTAGCAGATATCAAAGCTCCCAATCTGAGGATCAGGTATCTTCTGTTGAAGATAATGAGATTCATGCATCTAAACTCATTTATCAACATTCCCAGTTGAATAATATTATAACAAACTTCTCAAATTTCAAAAATCAACCTTCCAAATGCATAATTTCAAAGTGTCCCGTACAGCAAACTGATAAACTAAACAAAAACATTGTTGACTGGAAATAAATCATGATAAATTAAGTTGGTCAGTGTAATGCAACTGTACTACGATCATTATAATTGTAAAAGCACGAGGTTCTTGAAGATACAATGACAAAATTCCGGCCTGTTTTCACAAGGATTTCTGCCAACGGAGATAAACTTGCCCGCTGCGGTTCCAATCTTAACCTTAAGATTCACAGCTTCGTTTCGTAGAGATCCTGCAAAATGAAACCAAAACAGATGCATTAAAACATGCCCAATTTTACATTGTGCCTTCTCCTTTCCTTATGCCTCATCTCGAATAAAATGCTCCTTTCCTTATGCCTCATCTCGAATAAAATGCAAAATCAGAAGGATTTTTTTTAATAATCATGTATTCAGTTCCATGAAATCGGAAAGCTCCCAATTAACACATTTTATTGAATATATGAAAAAACAAATCTAACTTTACTAAATACATTTATGACAAGAGGGACATTAACAAACAATGACAAATGCATAGGCCACTGCTTTTCAGTTTAATGGATGCGTCTCGTGAGCTTCTAGTTTTAAACAACCATCCATATTTCAACCAAGAAATATTAATAACTGAAAGAGGCTTGATGAATATCCAAACAAGAAACATATGACAAGATATGGAAGAAAAACAAAATTAATCTTCAAGTCAGATCAAGACAAGTATCACAACACTCAAGATTTGACCCTAAAGTTCACAAAAAGCTTCATAATCAAAAAAAAGTAGGAAGCTTGACCAATTTTAAGAGGGGAAATTTCCAGAAACTTACCCAGCAGCTACTTATTGAGGAAAGAAGATGGGAGTAGGTTTTCCAGGGGACGGAGGATTTTCCTTTAGTATAGTTACAAGAGATCCAGCTTTAGCTACAGAATCAGGATCTGCTGCAAATGCAATGTCCACATCTTCCACAAGCACATCTTTTGAACTTACCTTTCTCTTAATCAAGTCTAAGTTTTCCCTAAGAACATCAACTTCACCAAATGGCAATCTCAAATCCAGGGCTTGTGCCCCAATTTCAATTGCTTTTTCCTTCTTAAACTTCAAGAAAGGCATACATAACTTCTGAATACGTCTAAATTCAGTAGATTGACCTACAGAACTCTGTTGTAAAGCCTCCTTTATTTCTGAATCCGGAGGAAAAGTACGAGTATCTTTGTTAAAGCTATTTTGGAGAATACTAAGGCACTCAGCTTCCCAACCGTCATATTGCTCATTCACATATATCAAGCATTTTACCTTGGTTTGTCCCGGCATTACAACTGGAGCAGATTTCTTATTTCCTTTCTTTGAGCCTGAAAGTTGCTTCTGAAGCAACTTCCTTATCAGCACAATAGAATCCTGTAGATATTTGTTGGCACTCTTTAGTGTAAGGTCAGGAGCATCCGCTGTTGGCCAACCTGCCTTCACCACAAAACCATCCTTCTTCAAAATCTCTCTCCAAATAAACTCTGCATAATGTGGACAGATAGGTACTAGAAGGCGTGTCTGCACATCCATAAAACGCCACACCAAATCACGATTTAAACCGCCAACCCCACATGACAATATGTACTCATCCTTAGCAGCCTGAAGATCATGAAAGCCAGTCTTGAGGGCATCTCGAAACATATAGTTGGAGTAGTTTTGCTCAGTTGTTCTGACAGCAATGTTAATGTCATTAGCAAAAACACGATCAGCGTAAATAGACGGCGGACCAGTTCTCATAGAAGATTCTGCAGGCAAAACTGATTCATACCATGCAAGCTCTTTGGTGAGCTTTAGAATTGCCGAATTTGCTGTCTCAAAGACAAAATTTGCATCATCAACACCATCACCAGCATCAGCCAAAGAGAACCGTGTAGCATCAGCAGAAAACTCCTCAATTGCCTGACGAATAGTTCTGAAATTTCCAGTGGACTTGGACATTTTCTCAGAATTGAGCATTATGTGGCCATTGCATCTAAACCCACGAGGCCAGTGATGTTTGGGAAAAATTGCAGTATGGTTGTAAATGCAAAAAGTAAGGTGATTTTGGATAAGATCTTTACCAGAAACCCGAAGATCAAATGGATACCAGTACTCAAACTCGAGCTTCATTCTTTCTAAAACGGATGATGAAATATCGGTGGCCTTAGGGAGAGCTCCATCATAGAAAATATAATCCCAGACATCATCAGTCAGTTGTTGAGGTTTGATAGATGATTCACCGGTTCCATACATGTCCCCATCCTGCAAATAATGTGCAATAGTGTAATAAGCCATGTAAATGGTAGAATCCGATAAAGACTCAACTAGGAACTGTTCATCCCATGGTATGCGTGTCCCAAGACCAAATGATCGTGAGCAAGCCCACTGGTTCAACCAGCCTAAAGTATGCTCAAATCCATGCCGCGTCTCCTCCGAATACAGACTCATGTTAGACAGGCATTCATCAGCTAACTTCTTCCATTCCGATTCCCCGTATGTAATATACCACTGATCTGTCAGAGCTACAACACATTCATCACCAGATCGTGACATCACTCGCTTCTCTGGCTCACTGTATATAATAGCTTGACCTGAAAGTGCAAAATAAAATATTCAAGTAATGAGCAGATGATAAGCAAATAATGCAGAAAAGAAAACAATTATTAACATTTACATGCCATAAAGTAACGCAAATCATTAATTAATTTAATTTATGTTCATTATTAGAACAAAACTATTCTAATACCTCATTTAACAATATGTTGCTATGATAAGAAATTTAGCCTCTCAATTTTCTGATTGTATTCAACAAGATGTGGGAGCAAGTTTCTACAAATTCTGAGATGTATGTGGATAATAAGATTATTCATATCTAATAATAATGTGAAGCCATGTTTCTTTAACAATATGATGAATAAAAGAGAAGAGACGCCTTATTCCCAACAGTATATATGGGATGCCAATACATTTGAAACATTTGATAAATCAGCAAAAACTCTTGTAGTAAGAGCAGAAGAAAATAAAGCAGATTAGCATCAGAACATGAGTTTGTAAAATATAAGAAAGTTGTCATGCTACTTTGTACTCCACAAAAGAATAACAGTGTTAACACTTCAATGTTGAAGAATGTTCTGTTCCTTTTAATTATACTTTGATCCATTACTTCAAAGAAGAGCTTCATGGAAATCCTTATGGATTAAAGAACAGAATATTAGTGCCAAATACAAATACAATGCAGTATTCTAATGCTTCAAAAGTAAAGCTATTGACAAGAAAATAGAAACTTGGATTTAAGAAAGGCAATATCTATGCTAAACCATACATCTACAACCACCAATTATTTTTAAGAGTACAGTTTTGTGTATAATTGAGGACTTTGAAGTTGAATACTAACCTGTTTCCAAAAGCTTGCTCCTAATCAAGGGCTTAACTTCCTGAACTTTCTTCCCGGAAAATTCTCCAACAATCATAGTTCCGTCAGTGAATCCTTTCAAGTATGTTTGCTTCTTGGCTTCTGCAAGCTTGTCTTTCTCATTCTGACTTTTAATTTTCATCTGCAAGCAAACTGTCTCAGCGGACTTATTTCCAAACGGAGGAACATCAATGATAGGCACAATCTCAAATGGCATCACCCACTCATCTTTCACACCGTACTTTGCCCTAAATGCCGGTTTTGATTTCAAATCATGCAATGCCATGTAGTCATCAGGAGCATCACTAGGTACACTGGTCACCACTCCGGTACCTTTATCCATCAAAATAGACAACATAGGAAGTGCATATATAATTTCATTAAATGAAAGAGGAGATTTCAATGGAAGTCCAATCAAATCATGACCCGTAAGCTCAAGCAAGCAAGTTGGTTCCTGAGGTACCCTAGAATGATTCTGGTAAGCAAGATTAAGAGCCGCCCTCCGTGCTGTAACAAAAACCTCTGTTTCATTAATTTCAAATGCACCATATTTCCCATCAGGCAACACCCATGCATTTGTTTGACCATACATAGTCTCAGGTCTCAACGTCGCCGCAGCAAGAAAAACTTTCTTCCCTTCCAAAACCTTAAACTTCTCAGGAAAAGGCGCTACCAACTCCATCTTAATAATAGTATACTCTTGAGGCTGAACACCTTCACCGCTAGCCCTATCATGATCCGCACACGGCTGTCCATCCAAAGGCGAAAAAATCGTATACCTAACATCCTTAACAACCTTCCCTAACGACTTCAATTTCCTCATCTGCCACCTAACAAAAGAATCAAAGTAAGGATTTGTATCCGTCGTAATAAACGACCTCCTCCAATCACAACCCAAACCAAAAGCCTTGAGATCCTCAATAGCCAACGGCGGAAAATAAGATAACCACTTATAAGGATCCTGAAACTCCGAAATCTCAGCATCAGATATCCCAACACTCCTCAAAATCTCCCATTGATAAGCCTGTCCACTGGATTTCGCTGCAACCTTAGATTTCTTCCCTTTAAACTTAGCAGGAGCACCATTTTCATTTTCATTTTCATCAACAATAACAACACTCTCCAGTTCCTCAACAACTTCCTCCGGAAAAACCGGCGGATTACCAAACTGTTGAATCTCTCTAGCCAGCTTATCAGCCGAAGCTTTAATCGGCATACCAGTACAATGAAAAGCGAAAGGCAACAACACATTCGCGCCGCGAAGACGGTGAAACGCGGCGGCGAATTCGAGTTTCGAAAGAGAAAAAGCGTGGCCTAGATGTAAATAACCATTCATGTAAGGAAAAGGGAAATTTCCGAAGAATTTTTGACCTGGCTCCGGTGGTTTATCACCAGGCTCAGATTTGAATACCTGTTTCTCTTCCCACCATTGTTGGACCTTTACCTCGATTTCGCGGAGACGGTCTCTACGAGCGAAATTTTTGCCACCGTCGGAAGACATTTCGGAAGTCATTTCAAAGATTCCGCGAACACAATTCAACGCCGCCGAAGCTAGATATTTATTCAACCTGTGAAAAAATGGATAAATAAATTAATAGATAGTGGAGCTTGAAGGCGAGGAGAGAAGGAGGGTCTGGGATGTACCTTTGTGTGAGCGGCCGTGAAGTTAGAGAAATGAACATAAACAAGTAGCGGCGGCAGTAGCATACAGAGAAGGGAGGAGAACGAGGGTTTTGTTTTGGGTTGGATTCACTTTCACTGTGGAAAGTTTTAACATTTACTGTACAGTTATTCTTCTACCCCTACGATTTTGAAAATATTTTAAATTTATGTTTTTTTTTCTATCTTCACTTTTATGTTTAATTTTTTATTATTTTTATTATTCATCTTAACACATGCGAAATTGATAAGTGTGTATCCATTGGTGTATATCAGATAACGTGCGATACAAAATTCTGATATTTTTTTTTTCAAATCGAAAGTCTTTGATATATAACATCCTATTTACATTTCATATTAATCGGATAATTTGTGGTGCTTAAATTTGGTTCGTTTTTAATAACTGGATAACTTGGACGCGAGTTTTTCAGTTTGTAATATACACTAATCGAAATCATTAATCAATGTATTTCGATTTTTATATTTTATCAACTGGATCTATGTTACATTGGTACTTCGATGCATTTTTTTTTTCATTTTTAAAATTTTTTTTATTATGTTAAATAGGTGATATTCCTTTGATATGCGCTAAAGACCAGACATGTGTAGATACCACTAAAATATTTTCATCAACACAATGATTTGCTACAAAAGAAGAGGCGGTAAAGTGGATTAGAGAGGTTGGAATCAGGAATAAAGTGACACTTATAATAACTCGTTCAGATACTAAAACAGGCAAGAGAGGAAGAAGTGATAGAGTAATTTTTGGTTGTGATAGAGGTGAAAAATATAAAGAAAGGGATAGTGAAACACAAAGTGCTAGTAAGAAATGTGGTTGTCCTTTCAAAATTAGGTCAACACCGTCAAAAGATGGTTCTAGATGGAAGATTGATGTAAAATGTAGACTTCACGACCATGGGTTACCTGATACATTTGAAGGTCACGCGTTTGTAGGTAGACTAAATGCAGATGATAAACAACATATTATTGATTTGACAAAACATCATATTCCACCAAGACACATATTGTTGTCATTGCAAGAGCAAGATCCAGAGAATGTCACTCGGATCACGCAAATATATAAACATAAGAGTGAGATACAGAAAGACATAAGGGGTCCTAGAATAGAAATGCAACATTTGTTTAAGCTGGTAGAGGATTCAAATTATGTTTACTGGAGCGGGAAAAAAGATGGGTTGAAAGTTATGAGAGATATTTTTTGGGTTCATCCAGATTCAGTGAAATTGTTGAATATGTTTCATGTTGTGTTGATTACGGATAGCACATACAAGATAAACAAGTATAGGCGACCTCTGTTTGAAATAGTTGGTTTGACATCAACTGAGTTAACATTTGTTGTTGCATTTGCCTATATGGAATCAGAGCAGACAAAAAAATTGGTTGGGTATTAGATAAGTTGAAACAGTTGTTTACTAAGCAGGGGTTTTGGCCACAAGTGATTTTGACTGATAGAGATCTTGTTTTGATGAAAGCAACTAAAACAATATTTCCAAAGACAATTAATTTGCTTTGTCGATTTCACATCAACAAAAATGTGAAAGCGAAGTGTAAATAATATGTTATGAATGACATGCGAGAGTCGATAGAGAAAGTATGGTATGAACTTATAAGGGTTAGTGATAAGGTGGAGTATCATCAACGGTTGCAACAGCTTGAGCATGCATGTGTTGACTTTAAATAATTTATTGATTGTGTGAAAGATACATGGTTGACTCTGCATATGCATAGATTTGTCGAAGCATGGATCAATGAAGTGTTGCATTTGGGAAACACCACGACTAATAGGTATGTTTATCTTAATATTACTTGATTTTAGTCATTGTTTGTTTATATTTATATTATGTGTACTTACTTTATTTTGTTTATACTTACGTGTATATTACTTTATTTTATTTTAAGGGTTGAGTCCGCACATTGGAAACAGAAGCAAATGTTGAAGAGCAGTTTAGGTGATATGTGAAAATGTTGGGAGGCTATGAATGGAAATCTCAAGATACAATTGGGAAACATTAGAGCTTCATTTCATAAGATTTTTTATGAAGTTAAGCATGCATGCACTGGTCCATTTTACGGGAATTTATATGGATTGGCATCCAGAGTTACTTTGAGACATATTGTTGAAGAATGGGTGAGGGTTGACATTGTGAGTACAAACACCCAAATGTGTGGGTGTACTTGTAGAAAAGTATATGGGTTACCTTGTGCTTGTGAATTAGGGAGATGCACATTTAGTGGTGATCCGATACCAATTGAGGCTATTCACATCCATTGGAGAAAGTTAAGTATGGAAGGAAAGCAAGAGGTAGATGCAGATGATGGATCGGAGGTGGACATGACCAATGAAATTGAAGAAATTTGGAAAAATTCCAGGTCACAAGATGTTGTAGGAAAAAGAGCATTAAAAAGTAGGGTGTGTGAAATTGTTTATCCAACTATAACAAAGATGTTGCCACCGCCTGAAAAAATAAAAACCAAACGAAGGATGAAGAAGAATGAGACGAAACATGTGGGATACGATGTTTATCGTGACCCTTCATATTATGAGTATGTTGATCAAGCACGCTCGAGTTTCCAAAAATCTTCAAAGAAGGCATGTTCACAATTATCCCAAACCTCAAAGAAGAAACCATCTAATAATTTCATTGTACAATTTCTAGAATATATCAGACCATTTATTGATGACATTGTTGATGTCTTAAAGGATGGAAATCGTGGGTTTAGAGTCATTTCATCGTCGCATGGTTATGGCTCGGATGGATGGACAATTGTCCATCATGACTTTAATAATGAACTTAAAGGTCCTAGAAGCAATCTGTATGAGCAGTTATTTGGAGCTTGTCTTGCAGTAGTGAGAGAATCTTTGGTGATATCTACTTTTGGTCAGCAACCCAAAGAGAAATGGATGACATTACCAAATATGGCTTATGTAATAGCTAATCGGTATAATGTCATTATCGTCTCTTTAGGTTATCCTTCTTTAACTTTATTTTCTATGACAACTTCATATTTACCTAATGTGTCCATTTACTGCATTGGATAAGTAGACGGAAATCATTGGGTACAGGTAATTATTCGTTTCTTATTAGTTTTTGTTTCATGCCTTGTTGTTAAGTTACTTATGTATTTTTCGTTTAATCTTAATTTCCTAAAAGGGTAAACATGAATGAAGGATTTCCATTGCTACCCATCATATTGGATTGGAAGAAATTTCACACAAAATATGCGACTTCTTGGATGGTATGATTTGTCAGACGATTACAACATTGGCAACGCCTTACACCTGCAGTGCCCCATATTGTTAGACTATAATTGTAATGTGTTTTTTTTGGGATTCTATTGACATATGAATTCGTGCTAAATTTTGGATTGTAATGACTAAAATTTATATTTTAAATTATGTTGCAAGTCTCAAAAATAACATTAGTCTCAAAACAACATAAGTCTCAAAATAACATAAGTCTCAAAATAATACATAAGTCTCAAAATAATACATAAGTCTCAAAAGAATACATAAGTCTCACAATAAAATAAAAAAGCAAAGTAGATCATGCGTCAAACTCATAAGGCATCAGTCCTCTTTGAGGTAGTGGTTCGCCCTGAGCTACATGGAGTGACCGAAAAATCTCAGTGAACTGATCGCCCTCCTCATCTGCCTTGTGACGCTGTAAGTAGCGATGAAGCTCACATGATATATATGATAACCTCTGGTCTGATGGTCCTCCGTCATATACAGGAACTGGGATCTCTCTCACCTTATCCTGTGGTGGTGCTATCAAACGAGGATGTGACATCGTATAATACCAAGTCAAGTACTCATCGACTATATCATATGGTCAAGTGGCAAAAACTACATCACGAACCACATCCAAAACTCCCTGAACATATCCATCCCAATCAACATCCACATTAAATGACTCCACATCAGGAGGTGGGCAGGGTATGTACTGTCTATATCCAAATTGACATAAACATATGTCGGGTAAATATAGCACAACTATCTCATACCATTTCATACCACCCTTGTAGAGACATATATCATCAAATGGACAGGTCAACCTGTGATCAGAAAATGGTTGCCAAGTGACATCATCAGGTGACAATGCATCTAACATACGCCTAAACTCATCAACCTTATATGTTCCTTGCCTATAACTCCATTTCATCGCTCTCATTAGTGTACTACCTACACCACAAATCCCAAACAAACCTCTCTTCCCAATAGTGGAAAAATACCCGTGGATCCAACACTGTTACACACCATGAATATTATAAATTAAAATCATTTTAATAAATAAAGATAAATCAAATTTAAATTATAATAAAACATTTTGTATCTGTAGAAGAGAGGCATATCCATCAACTTGCTTGCATGTATAGAAGGAAGCATCACCTAGATATCAGTAAAGTGTGACAAGTGCCACTGCTCCCCAGCAATATCTACCATATCCATCCAAGTCCCTAAAAAGTGGTAAATACTTTGCCTCTACAAGAGTAAAGGTCTTGTCATCAAGAATGGTGCAACCTAACAACACAATCAAATAGGCTCTAGAAGCACAGTCAAATCTATTAATAGCTCGCTGGCGCACAAATATCACCTTCAACCAATCCAGTCTGTAATATGGACCTCTACAAAATTGGATCTCCTCAGTTGCCTCTTCCAATGGAACACCCATCAGATTAATAGCTAGTCTAATAGCATCACTATTAGTGAATCCTTCTTGAGGGTCAACTAACTTACCCCTAATCGGTATGTGAAGAAGACATAAAGCGCCATTCAAAGTAATGTCCATCTCGCCAAATGGCATATGAAATGACGATGTT